TTGTATAACTAAATATATCTTTTTTAAAAAGTTAATATTAAAAAAAAAGTACTTTCAGTGTTTTTAAAAGTATCATAGATTCTATAGCAACTATTTTTTTCCTCTCTAAATATTCATTGGGTATGTCAAACGTGAATGAGAAAGTCTTCAGATTTATAGTCTTCAGATTTATAACAACATAAAATAAAATGATCAGCAGTATTATTTCGTTAATTTCACTGGTAATAAAACTACATTATACTGTTTAATTCTGAAATTCATAAAACCTATGAGAATACTGTTTAAAAGAAAGTAGGCAACTTCCTGCCTCACACTTTTGCTTGTCTTCCCCTCCTTGGAAGAATACTGAATATATAAATAAGTGAATTTAAACCAAACTGAAACCACAATAATTATTTAGGTAGTGCTTCATAAACTTCTCCTATCCAAGTACCTCTTTAATGGAAGAGAAGATTGAACATGCACCTCTAGAAATCTGCCGCAAGTGTGAACATTCTTTGAAGTCATATGTTTTATTTTAAAAATTCATGTGTGTTTTTCATTGTACTCCTTAATATATAGCTGTCTTAATGTAAAAATGATGTATTTTCCTCAATATCTTTGAGTTACAGAGCTCTAGATAAACACGCTTATACTATAGATTTGCATCTTCTAAGAAACACACTATTTTAGGAACTTAGATCAATAAAACTAAAGGCTATTATAAATTAATTCTTCCATGGATCCCAAATATTTTCTACTTTTTTTTTTTTAAGATTTGTTTATTTATTTGTTTATTTATTTATTTATTTATTTATTTATTTTATGTGAGCACTGGGTACAGTCAGAATCGCGGGAGGGTGAGAGAATTCACCAGAGCCAGAGCAGAGAGAAGAACAGGCAGACTGACGAAGTACACTGCTGAGGGGAGCAGTGGGCGGCAGGAGAGGTCTGCACACCATGTGGGACCCTCGCCCGGTGGTCGGGGATCAAACCAGTGCTGCAGAGGCTGCGGGAAGTTTTGCAGCCCAGCGCTCAACCACTGCAACACCAGGGATGCCCTCTACTTTTGTTTTCTTTTCACATCAAAGCCATTTTTTTTCTAAGTTAATTTGAAGTGTATAAATTTACTAAACTGAAATAAATTTATTTGCTGTAACAAACAGAAAAGATCCTTAGATGGGTTCTAATAATCCAAAACCATAAAAGATATTAGTAGCCATATAATTACTATTGAGAATGTAAATTGTATAATCTATCTTTCAAGGTTAGAAAGAAAAAGGTTCTTTTTGTTTTGTTTTGTTTTGAAGGGGATATTTTCACATCATCATATAAAATGAATTTTATAGTGTTGATTTAGCTTTACTTTTGTTGGTAGATTAAATATATATGCTATACACAGTACTGGCAGTGATAGAATGTGGTTCAAGTAGTACTGAAATGCATATTTACTAAACAGGACAAGTTAGACTCAAATACCAAGGGGAAAGCACTTAACTATAAATAGGAAGTAATTGGCTTGACTTTTCACTATATTTTGCTTTGTCTTTCAGACTGAATTCAAAGTTATTTTCTCTGAAGGCTTTAGCAGCAAAACAATAAAAAATAAATGACTGACTGAGTGAATGAATGAATGAATGAATGAAGGAAATGTGTTCTGAGCAGCAATTTGACAAACGATATTCAGCTGTCTCAGTGGACTTGGCATTTGAGATTTCCAGGCATGGGATGCAGCATGAAATTGTACAGAGACAGAACTATTAGAAAGGAATAAAAATGGCTCAAGAGAAAATATGTCAGGGCACAATGAAATGAGAACTAGGAGGAAATGAAAGAGGAATGCAAGCAGGCAGAATGTGCTTAAGAACTTTTTGAGTTGAAGACTTGGAGTCTGAATTTCATAAGAAATGGAAAAAAAAAAAAAACTAGTCAAACAACTTGAGAATGGGGATTGCTGCCTCCCAAACAGTGAGATAGGAAGAGGATTTCTGGCAACAGTGTTTTGAATACTCTGGCAGAAAGAAAATACAAAAGCAGAAATAATCCAAATACAACACGGAAGGATTTTGCTCTTGAAATGGATAGAAAGAAAGAAGTCAGTGATAATATAAAAGAAAAAAATATGAAAGGCTTTACCTAAAGCCCAGACACCAGAAACAAATACAATTGAATATAATATACATGCAGCAGAGACTGGAAGAATTCAATGTACCCTTATGATCACTCCCTTCTAACTTGACAATAACAACAACTATAGTGTTTATAAAGTAGACTATCATTACTACTACAATCATCACTGCTACTACTACTGCTGCTGCTAATACTACTACTACTACTACCGAAATTATTACAGGCAATAGCTGGTATGGCAACAGGCACATATTTACAACAGGCCAAGCCTTTAACTAGATGTTTTGAAAGTGTTAACTCATTTAATGTTATTGTTACTTCTATTCTTATTTTATAAACGAGGAAACAAAAACTGGAAGTTTAAATTACTGGAGCTGAAGGCTATATAACTACTAAATAAAAAAGCTAGAATTAGTACTTTGTAACACCTAGCTTAAAAGGCTGTGCTCTACAGTTTACCTTCATCAATAGCAGAAGTTTGATATATATATATGTATCAAACTTCTACTGCAAAATTATACATATATATGCACACACATAAATTTAAACTTAAAAGTCATGTAAACTTCACTCAGATTTCATTATCTGTTGTCCCAGATTCTTTTGCATAAAATATGCTTATCAGATATATTCATGTAAAGTATCCTCAATGTAAGAATTAAACACCATCATTGTAAAACTGACCCAGTATTTCATTGAAAAATATTCTTGATACACTTCTTACCAAAATCTTTCTGAAATTGAGCTACATATTGAATGAATAAAATTTAGGAGAAAATTATCATAAAGAGCAAGCAAAAGATAATAGAAGCACTGAATTGATCTAATTTCAGGGGCCTCCCTGATGGCACAGGGGTTAAAGACTCAGCGTTATGAAGCTATCACCAGTAACAGCAACTTGAGTTCGATCCCCAGCCAAGAAGCTAACCCCACATGGCCCATCACACCTATCCTGTCTTGCCTGCTGCTCCTCTCAGCAGTGTATTCCAGTAGATCTGCCTATTCTACTCGCCACTCAGTCTCCAGTTAATCCTCTCAACCCCTACACTTTTGGCCTACACCCCAAATCCTGTATACAAAAGTAAATAAAAATAAATCTTTTTTTAAAAAAAAGACCTAATTACAGAGTAGGTCTTATTTGTGGCATTTCTCGTATTCCAAATTATAACACACATTTTCTAAACACTGGTATTATTTTATACTAGTTACATGTTAGTAAATATAGCTCTAGTTACAAAAAAAAAAACTTTTCAAATCTAATTGCTAAGATGTAGAACATTTTTAGAAAAGCAATTTCCAAGGAGATATCATCATAGTTGTATTGTATAATCCTCTATCATATTATAAAACTTGTTTTGTTTTTAATATAAAAGTAAATAAATAGTACAGTCACAGCTTGTCTACTAGTGTGATTCTGGTTTTTGGACCACAAAGTGAGACAAACTCAATTACATTAAAGGAATATGATGAGGATCTGAATGATGATACCAGGTTGTCAGAGATCACTACTGAGAAATGTTACACGAACAATATTCTAGATTTTACAGACACACCTTTTTCCCCTTCAAAGGAAGGGTTTATATAGTTTGTAATAAACTTGGGAAATAAATGTGCTTTTGTATCCTTACTGAAAGTCTTTAGAGTAACGAGAAATGAAATTAATCCATTGCAGTTTCAAACAGATTTATGGTATACTTTTCTTATCTAAGAGGGAAAACGTACTCACCACATAAATTATTTCATCTTCAAAAAAATTTTCCTTGATCCTTCCTCCTTTCATTTACTTTTCAACTTCTTACAAGAGGAGATAATACCCACTAAGAAAACTACTTAAATTAAAATCTTGGAGACATTTCTGTTTGTCATCTTCTGTTCTTCACTTCTGCCATGTCCATCTGTTCTAGCCCTTCAATGATGCTGGATTGTCTACCATATCAAGAACAGACTTCTTAGAATGACACTGGCCTATAAAACAGCCACCTAATAATGCTCCAGCCTTATAATTAACAACTCTTTCACCTGCCCTAACACATTCTGCAATTGTGCCTTGCTCATATTATTTTCTCTCTGAAACCATATCTCTTTTCCATGCTTGTAAAAATTCTATCCTCATGCTTTACCCTTTGACCTCTTCATTTATTTAGCCATATACCATTTCAAAAGTAGTTTTCTCTCACCTAAACTGCAACACAGGGCCTCCCAGATCATGCAGAGGTTAAACACAGCAATATCAAGCTATTGCCAGCCACTGAACCACAGGATCACCTGCCGGCCAGGAGCAATCCATATTGCGCAGAAAACCTCTCCTTCCTTGCCCACTGCTCCCCTCAGCAGTATATTTCAGTAGATCCACCTGGTCTGCTCTCTACTCTCTCTGGTGAATACTTTCACCCCACCGTACCTCTGGTCTACACCCCAGTTCTTGCCTGCATAAATAAATAAATCCTTTCAAAAATAAACTGCGACACAATATCTTTTCATGTAGTGCTTCTCATATTCATCCTTATTTTATGAAGTAATTATATATAAATGTTTTCACATGTTCTAGATTTTAAACACATTCAAGCAAAAACTGTCTCACAATCATTTTGATATTACCTATATTTCCTTTACAAACAATACAAACTTAAATGCTTCTGAAATAAATTAACATATTACCTGATCAGAGATATGAAAGTTTCAATGTTACAGAAGTGTTAAAATATAAAGAAAGCCAAACTAGGTTATTAAAATGCACTATGCTATCAAGTATATGCTAAAAGAAACTACCAGATTTTAAAATATCAGTAAATAAACAGAAAAAATGATTGTTTATAGATTATTAAATTTTACCATTTAAAATATAATACTTAGGCAAGGAAAAAGTTCAAGTCAAATTATAAATCAATTACCTTTGCTTGCACTTTCCACGTGTTCCAATTCTTCAGGAAACTTCAGGATGTCTCGGTATTTTTCCTCACAAATTTCAGCAATAAAATGCAGGAGGGTTGTTTTTTGATCTACCGATTTAGTATCTCTGATCTGGGAGGAAACAACATATTTTTTAGCATTTTTGGTAACATAAGTGTAGACTCTTAAACAAGTGAAATGAATGAATTAACTGAATTCATTATAAGCCATTTAAAAATTTAGAAACAAAAAAGTCTCAGTTAGGTTTCTAATGGGGTATAGTAAGTACGAATGCTGTAGATTTTAAAATCAACTCCACATTTCAAAAGTGACAAAGTTGACCCCAAAAAGTAAAAAAATTAAGCTTTAGTTTATATAAATCTAAATACTAATGGAAAAATGGACTATGCTTCTCATGAGAAGAATGCTCATTCAAGTTGTGATAATAATAATTGAAGTGAATATGTATTTATCAACATTCTGATCTTTGCTTTATCACAGAAACATAATCTTGAAAGTTAGATTCGTTTGTGAAGTTACATTTATTTCTAGCCATCACTGATGCAAATTAATATAATAGTATTCTCCTTCACTTGCATGGGACATCAAAAAAAAATAAATGAAGGATTTTTACTCTGATTTTAAACAATCTGACCACAAAACCATGATAACATGACAAGTTTATTTGTCTATTTATATACTGTATTTCCTTTCAGAGACACTGGAATAGAGATGACAGAATGACAAAAATGTTTAAAGAATAGGACAAAAACAATCTACGATGAGAGTCTTTTAAATAACTCTCATACCAGAGTAAGCTGCATTCTTAAAAATAAATGACAAATACAGCATAAAGTATCAACTTTTCTCATTCTACTGGATGTTTTAATTCTTTAATCCTTAGATGATGGGTTTGTCCACTGATGTTCATAATGATTAGGGGTTTTGGGCTTTAAGGATTACTCTGTTTAGAATAAATGAATATCCCTCACAAATAGGTTTATGAAAAATTATGGAGGATATTTAGGTAATTAAAGAGTAATTTAATCCTTACTGTTTTAGTAACTAAGAAAAAAATACATCTAATAAATCAGGCCCACACTAAATCTGTTTTGTGCTATTCTTTTTATACAACTGTTTATATCCCAATGATATGAACAACTAAAAAGAAATACTAATCCAAGGCTCAAAACAAATATCCACAGGAGGCATGTTATTGGTAGTTCAAGTGGTCACAATAATTTCTTCTAGAATTTCTGGGATTACTATAATCCCACACAGATAAAATATTAAAAACTTCCAATTATCATGTGGATTCACCAAACATTTTTTTAAGTACTACAAGGTTGAAATGACACAATCCAAGGACAAGCTGTAAGATCAAAGAGCAACAATAACCTCAAGGACAATATGCCTTAAGTGCGATTTGTAGCTGTGGAGGAATCAATGGGAGGTTCACTTTCCTAAAGAGAGGTCTTTATCTATGATTACTTTATATGTTCATAAAGTACCCTGTTTTCAGTGTATGCTGGACATTGCCGGATGTCCCAAATAAGAAGGAAGTGAACATTTCTTTTCTTCTTTTTTTAACAAATTAACAGATCTCATTAGTACTAAAAGCATTACTGAGGTATATCTTAAGGAGATTGATCTATGTTTTATGAACTTTGTAGCGTTCAAAAATAATCAAACAAAAAAAAAGCCATGAAAAACAACAAATACACACCAAATATATATATATATATATATATAAAATGATCAGATGATAACAATTAAAATTATATGTAATATATAAAATTATATATTATATATTATATATGAAATGCACATGGTCAATACTGGAAAGAAAAACACATATACAGAAAAATAGTATTGGGTTATATGTAGATTTCATGGGTGATTTAAAACATTAGATTTTAGAACACGTTTATAGGTGCTTAATTCTCAAAAATTGTTTTTAAATGGTAAAAATCTTTGAGATTTCCAGTAGTTTAATTTCTGTCAAAAAATTTAGTGGAGTCAATGGTTACACTTTAAGATAAATATAACATTTTCATTAAATATCTTAATATTGATGTTGAAATCAGAAAGAGCTATAAACAGAGTATCCAAGTACCTTTTTAAATTTGTAACACATTCTTCAAAGCATAGACAAACATGGTCAACCACTTGGATTATCCAGCTGAGAAATATCTTAGTTGGAATGGAAGATAAAATGCTAAATCTGTATTTGCAATATTTACTTTTTAAATGACCACATGTAGTCCATTTTAATGTTTCAGATTGGCAAGCAATAATCATCAAAAATATGTGGTATTTTTATTTTTCTCTATGTGTATGACCCTAATGCCAATATATATATATATATATATATATATATATTAAAATTTAAGGGGAAATAATTTGTATTTATTTGGGTATATTCACTTTATATTATCATTTCTCCAATTTTGCTCACTCTACACCATTCTCACACTAGCTATTCTCTCCACCCACCAAGACCTATTGCATTGTTTCAGTGACAACAGAGAAGACAACTAAGAACATTCACCTTCATCAATTCAAATGGTTAATGGCATTTGGCCAGTAATTTGCTCTTCCAATTGTACTACTTGGTATACATCTCTTAGGGTAGTACAAAATTAATGTAAACTGAGTATATGCATAATCACTTCCCAAGTGTTTAATTATTAATAAATATAATTGGCTTCTATTTGCTATCTAGTTAATTTGAAATTATATTCATTTAGAGTAACATCAAATATTTCAATAATACTTGTCCAGATTATCCAACTATCAGTGGTGACTCCACCATAAGCATTTCAAGGTTGGCTTCAGTGAGGAGTCAAGTGTCCTTATGTATTTCTGCTTGTGCTTTTCCTCGCTCCCTCTCATCAGCCACAGATAGGCAGCAGTATGAGACAGATATATAAGATGCAAAAGCATAAACAAAATGACCACACAATAATCCTGTGTCTTGTATAAATTTTCAAGCTATAAAAACCTAAATAGGGCCTTCCCTGGTGGCGCAGGCAGTTGAGTGCTGCGCTGTGAAGCAGTCCACAGCCTCTGCACCGCTGGTCCGATACCAGCCAGCGAGGGTCCCACATGGCATGGCAGACCTCTCCTGTCTCACCCGCTGCTTCCCTCAGCAGTGTATTTTAGTCTGTCTGTTCTGTTCCCCACTCTGTCTCTGATGAATCCTCTCATCCCTCCCGCACATCTGGCCTGTACCCCGGTTCTTGTATAAATAAATAAATAAATCTTTTTTAAAAACCCTAAATAACAGTTTCAGAAATTGGAAATACCTGAAAAAGTGTTATATACAATATTATTTTAATTAGCTATTATCTATGAATGATAATAAAATTAGAGTAATTCACTATATTCACTGATACAGTGCCATCAGTTAATAAACCATAGAACAATTTTAATTGTAATCATCTGACCAATAAATGTTACACACATAAAGATTAATAACTTCATTTATATTAACTTCATCTAGCTAACCTTTAATAACTTTCTAAAATGATATATGAATACAAAATATTTTTAACAGAATAACACCTATTTCTACTTACTTTCAGTCATTTTTTTCCCCTAATACATAGGGGCTATATTGTGAAAGATACTATTTATATCAATATTTGACAAGCTCAAATACATCTACAAATTTTAGTTAGAGCAACAGCAAAATATCTCAGTAATTAATTGCCATGTAAAAGATTTTTTTTTATTTCAAACAAACCCATTCAAGCCAGGAAAATCTATCTTTGAAATAGGGCTTTGAGCAGAGGAAAGCCAACATACAGCTAGAGACTGAGACATCATTTTAATCATCTACGTCAGTCACACTCAATCTTTCTGTGAAGGACCCCTTCTGGAGGTAATTTTCCCATCTGCTGAGATTTAAGCCTATTTCTTCTTGCTCTGTCCTCAGAGTGAACAGAAAAAACTAGTCACTATGTGTTGTATAACCACCTCTCACAGAGTGAAAGCTCCCTTCTTATGTTCCCTCCTCTCTAAAATAAACAATTTCAGTTCACATTACCAATCCACATAGATTCCTTTTCAAATGTTTAATCTTGTCATGATAACTAGAACCCACTCAAAGATTCCATTGCAAAGGCCCCCACACCTACTTGAATATCATGCAAACTCCCTGCTTGTATTTGGTAAGCCCTTATGGAGTTAGCCCTTGCCTATCTTTCTAATCTGTCTCCTGATCTTTGATGAGTACCCTTCCTTTAGGTCTAATTACAATTGCTTGAACACACATGACACAATTGCTTGAACACACATGACAGTGTCATGCCACCGTGCTCTTTCATATCATATTCTCTTTCTTTTCTCTCCCCCTTCTCCCTTTTTCTTCTCCCACTGTCTGTCGATAAATACCTACTCATATTTCAAGACTACTCAACAAGCCAATTTCTATCTTAAGACTTCTCTATCTCAGGGGTATTAATGCCTTTTAAATATTTCAACATAGTAGATTCTTCCAGTCAGATTAGAGACCTCGTTTTAGTACTAATTTTTATCAATGGAAATTAAGAAAATGTTAGAGCATACTATTGATAGGTAAATCATAAACACTTTTTTAAAAAATATTTATTTATGCATACAAGAACTGGGGTTAAGGCCAGAGGTACAGGGGGTGAGAGGATTTACCAGAGACAGAGTGGGCAGCAGAATAGGCAGATCAACTGAAACACACTGCCATGGGGAGCAGCGGGTGAGACAGGAGAGGTCTGCTGCACCAAGTGGTCAGATCCCTGGCTGGCCGGGGATTGAACTTGTGCTGCAGTGGCTACAGATAGCTTAACAGTGCTGACGCTTAACCCCTTGTGCTACCAGGGAAACCCCCATAAACACTTTTCAATGCATATATTTCTCCATATTGAACTTGCCCACTTACATTGGTTATTGAATAACATTTCTCAATTAAAGTCTACTCATATGTGTGTATGTATATATGCACATACACATACAGGTAGACTACAAAGCCAGACTTTTTCAGGACACTGTGTTTACAGAGTAAGGTAGGAATGAATGCCAGAATAATGTTATAATTTGTCCTTCAGGAAATGGACCAAAAATATACATCTGTAAAAGGAGGCAGATAGGAGCAA